AATCTGAAACCTTTTTCCTTTCGATTTCGAATGAAAATTACCGACCACGTGTTATATCCAGTTCGCATTGTAGAAATGGAAGTAGGAACCAGTTGTCCAACATGTGCTTCGAGGGGAAGATGTTGTGGATCGCCTCTTGATTATTTAATAAGGCCATCCCAATTTAATGCTTCGTTTCCCATCGCCCGACCGACCCATTTTTTTGAAAAAGTAAAAAAAAAAAAAAATTCTTGATTCACTAGTCAAAGAGGCAAGTACTTTAATTAACAAGCACATGATCTTGTCGTATTTACACCAATTGTCATAAATTAACATCGATACAACGTTTTTAAAGCCTTTTTAGACATTTGACAGTAGTTTTAATATACATCTTTTACCATCCGATTATGTCTTTAAGACCAAATGTGAGATTTAACATGCAATTGTAGATAAAGAATATCGAACGAAGGAACCACGTTTTCGAGTTGACTTTGTAAACAAGCTTTCGTACTTAGCAGCCCGGCCTTTCCTGGCACCCAGGCCCTTTCAAGTGTTCATTCCCTTTTTTTTTATTTTTTTGCCCGACCGACCGACCCACCCTCACGAGAGGGAGGGCGATGGGAAACGAAACATTAAATTGGGATGGCCTAATAGAAAACTTGGCAGGTATTTTCAGTCAGAGAAAAATTTAAGGTTACTTCCCACCTTTAGAGGCAGAAAAAAATAGATTTTTCTCTCATATGACTGTTCTGAATTCAAACATTTCACCTAGCATTTCCATTTAAAAAAATTTCTGAAATCTTTCAAAGTACCCGAAGCAAATAAAGTTCATAAATCAGGAAGGTGTCATAATGTCGGACCTAGGCGAATCCCCCGGGGGGAATTTTGGCGGCAACCGCTAATGTTTGAGCTCGATTTTCATGTTATTTCCATATTTTGTTTACATCGTGTACTTGACTTAATTCACTCATGGAAGCTCTTTGCTTTAGAAAAAATTGAAAGCGGGAGAAAGTCCCTGGTTAAAAAAAAAGAGGTAAAAATTTTCATACAACGTCATTATGCATTCAATTCTTGGATAGAGAAAACAATAACAAAAACAATACATTGCCTTTGGGAAAACAGATTTGTTTTACAATAGTATGGGGCTGTGCGGAAATTTTATCTAAAAAGAGAAGAAAAAAGAAACCGACCTGAACGATCGCGATAAAAGAAATGTCGGTAATGGGTTACTTTTCCCGAGAAATTTTGATCTATCGTCTTTGTCGCCAGAAGGTTTGCGATTTCAGGAGGCGAGATAATAATCTCCTGTCGTGGCGCTAGTTGTTTGCGAACCTTTATGAGGTAAAATTTCTCATTGGATACACTCTGAGCGAATTAATAGGGTAAATAGATATGACCGATTTTCGTCAAATTTCGTCAAAACATCCCAAGAGACGAACGAAAGTGTGTCGAGAAATTTTGATATTCGAAATATTTGTCTGGTGGTGTCCATTTACGCAATACACCTCGCATGTTTCAGCTACTCCAACTTTAGATGTCGATTTCAGAATACAGAAAAATCCTGACGTACTTTGGTTGATTGATGCCTTGAAGATTAAACTGTACAGCCATTTTACTCGTGCTGCGGCGTCCGATACCCGATAAATTCAATTGAAGAACCCTCAGTTGTTTCACGCCTTACCGGCTCCTGACACTGCTTCAAAGAAAAGTCGCTTTAATTATATTTTTATTGTAAACTGCAGTTAGTGAGCTTTCTTCTGATGTATGGTTTACGAAGATTTTTCGTAAAACTAGTGCGCTTACGAATTTTTTAGGTTGAATTAAGTCAACAGAGATATTGAATATTTATCAGCACACCGGTGGAAACTGAAAATAAGCTGACATTCAACTCGCAGATAGATTTTGGAATAAATGATCGTCCTCTTTGCTTTTCTTCGTCCTACGTAAATTAACGAGTGAAACATATGCTGCTTGTCCTTGTTCGTCATGTCTCGAGTTTGAAATTTGAATTTGGAATAAGAGAATGCCCAATTGCATTGTTTGTTCCACATAAAATCACGAGTGCACCACGTGCTATCCGTTCGTGTTTTTCATTGCAGGCATTTTGGGTGGCGAATATTTATCTATTAGTGTAGTTCAGTTCAGTTTCCTTTTTCAGGATGGACGAAGAAGGCGAAGAATACAATTCCACTTCTGATTGCGACTCTGATATTTCCGTTTCCGACTCAGAAAATGACAGACATGAAGACGACGATGGTGAAGAACTCTGTGAGAAAAATTTATTTTTTGTCTAAGTGCTGAAAAATATGTTAAACATCGCTGGTATGTGCGTGTTTTTCGAGTATTTGACCATTGATGCCACTGAGCATTGCGAATGAATATTACTTTTCAGTCACAAAACACAGACAATCTAAGTTGTATTCATTGCCCGTGAACAAGATTTGGAATTTTTAACCGATGAGAAGTTATAGCTGTCCGAAGTAGGCATTCATTTTAATTATCATGATACGAGGTCTGACATTGACAGATCTTCAGAGAAAGCTCTCCGATTTTCCGAGAATTTTCGGCTTGTGGCAGAAGAATAGTTTTTGGCGGTTTTGGTTCGATTTGGGCAGTTACATAATAGACAGAGTCTTTTTAAAAACTCGACGAATATCATCGTAATTACTTAATGACTCAAACACGTTTTACTCTGGTCTCTCTGCTCTTTGGCCTGAAGTTTGAAGTTTCCTTTTTCTTTCATCCTCTCTTTTTCCCTCTTTTTTTGACAGCGGATCGAGAAGACGGAGAGATTCAACTCGAAGATGAAGGCTCGGAGAACGGTGAAGAAGAGGAAGAACTGGAAAATGAAGAAGTATCATTATTCGATGAGAGTAAGTGCTACCTCATAGTAATGCCTGCGCAGAATTGCCTCGTACTTGCACAAAATAAGACTGAATGTCTGGAGGGTGATATCGTGTCACACCTAGAGTACCATCTGATTGTCGTTTGTTCCAATAGAAGTGACAATTTAAGTTTGCATATTGCACACTTTAGAATGCCACCCTGGAGGAGGGGTCACAAGCACACAGCTGCTCCCACAAGCAATTATGTTACGATAGGGGCCAACGACAAAAGTAAAGTTTTTTGCCCACTTTTCCTTTCATTTTTAAAACAGCCATGCAGAAAAATGGTGTGAAAGATCCTATTCAAAACAAATGAAAGTATTCTCCCTTTATTGTACAAACAAATCAAAGCAGACGTCGAAACATTCAATTTTAGCTCAACTTCATGGCAACAACAAATGATCCTAGTCAAGTGAGCCTGACATTTTTCTGTTATGTCTTGTCAATTTATGACATAAAGTGTACAATTTCAATTTGATTGTGGATACTGGTCTGATTCTCAATTTCATAAAAAAAAATACTTATTTAATCAGAGAGAAGCATCGTGATATTTAGTGGAAAAGCTGCTAATACAAAGCGACCACGAACTGTTTAAAGGGGTCAATACACAAACATTCCATTTCGATTGCAAGAAAAGAGCTATGAATTTTATTTAATAAAGCTGAAATCACTTTTCGTTTCTTATGATATGATTGGTTGATTTTATCAAACCCAGCAACTTAAGTGGCATTGGGATGACCCTGATGAATTTCCCCGATTTAAAATACTTTATTTAATAGAGATTTGTTTGTTAAAGTTGCAGCCTCAGAAATGCCAATGGCAGAAGATTCTGATGAAAATGACAAGCCGAAACTCGACATTGGCATGAATATGCGCCGTGTTAGTAAATTTTACGACGGTCCAAAAGTTAGGCCACAGTAAGTATGCCTAAATCAGTTACTTCCGTTGTTTATCTTGTTGTTTTATAAAGGTGTTTTTTGAGCTTTTTCTACTCGGCGTCAGAAATTCGCATTCCTCTATTTTTTCTTGCATACAAGTGAGATACGAGTAAATTAGTGACTTTCCCTCAACATCTTCGACACTGTAAGACACTGTAAGATCTCTTTTCTCTAAGAACCACTAAGAGAAATATTTTGAAAACGAATTTGTTACTAGAAACAAATTAAAATAAATTTAAGATTATTTGTGTTGTAAACTGCCACATTGGAACTCTAAATTGTTCGTGATGCTTTACAATTTGATTCTGCTTTGACTCAGGGAATTCCTCGACCAGTCAGGCGGGTTGAGACAGACAATGTATTAAGTTTATCTACAGCACGAATCGCGTATGCTTAAATAAGCAATGAGGGTGTCATTCAGTACTCAGCCTTCTGTGATTCCAAATGGGCAAAAATTTTTTAAATGAATTTGTAGATATCTCAACATTCTGACAGACTTTGTTGATGCGGAGATTTTCCTGATTGATGGCGACTCTTTGCTGTTGGAGCTTCTTTGCCAAAGTAGCCTGGACTGGCAACATGGCGGACAGTTTCTACATCTCACCTATCTACTTGAACGCTTCCTCCAGTATTTTAAAGATAAAGGTTAGTGCAGAAAACAAGTTCAGAAAATTATGATGTGAGTCAGAATGCCAAAACATTAAAAAAGAATAATAATGATCGCAAGAACGAAATGAGCTCTACTCGTGAACCTAAAGATATAAAAAATTATAGCCAGGTTATAGCTGAGGAGATGTTAGAAGCCCTTAACAGGTAACTGTAGGATGATGAGGATGTTTCCAGTGACCGTGAAGGTGTGAACGTAAACGATAGTATTAGATCGACGGAGGTTGCCCAAAATCGGAGGCTCGCGGAATAGAGGTTGCTAAGATGAGACGACATCTCTTTGTCATCTGTTTCACTAATTTAGCAGGAACACAAAATGCCGGCTAAAGGCGGTATTGGTTTCGCAGATCAGTTGATCATTAACTTGTATGTGATACTACCATTGTTTACCTGTAAAATGGTATTAGTTCTCAGTATTTTTCTCTTCTTTCCCTTCAGTCATCTAACCATGCCATTTCTTGTTTAACTAGGTGGTGTTTTCCACGTTGTCTTTTTCAAAGAAGTGGAGATCATCTGGAAAAGTCGACCATCCATGCTGTTGGCACGACAAGCTCTAATTCTTCATCTTCAGCACAACACGCCTTTCATAACTGAGACTTCAATAGCAAGTGTTTGGGACAAGCATTGGAAAGAGTTCATCGATCGTAATATTCCCGCATTTCTGGTGTTAACTGACGCGGAAAATGTTCCATGGAAAAAGACTGGAGAGACGAAAATGCTTGATGAGACAGTGGAATTTTTCTTCCGATGTCTTCTGTTACACTGTCTTGGACAAGGATTGAATTGTGTCTTTATCTCAGGCGTCCAGATGACCGCGACAAAAGTGATGGGATATTACAACGAGTCCACGTAAGAACATAGATTATTCTTCAGAAAGGTTAGAGGCGAGACTTTGTTAAGGAATGTGAAATAATAAGACACCAATATTAGCATCAGAGTTCGTGGCGTGAAGCAACATCCGAAGCTTTTCCTACTTATTAAGAATGTTTAACCGAATGCAAAAGTTGGACCAAAATTAGAATTTCCAGACTCTGTTTAATGTTATAGCTAATACATAATACCTAATACATATTATCCCAATACCTAGTATTTGTAAGCACGAAGATTAATGTCAACATGTTGTAATTGTATGTGAACATTTATTATATAAAATTGTGTAAAATTGTTTGTCAACCGTCTGGCTTGCCGCGATTAGCTCTTCGCTATTTGCAAGCTAGTTTAGTAATACCCATCTGATGTGAACAAATAAAACTTGAATGAATGAATAGCTGAATTTTTTTACGTCAGGATTCTAAGCTATGTTTGAAAGTAATACATACCGCGTTCCAAGTCTCCCTTTCAACAACTCAAGAGCTTGCAAAGCTTTATAAAAAATGATTGACTCACGAAAAAACATGGGGAATACAGGTACCGTCAGTGTCACTCTAGATCTACAAGGGTGATCGTTATAGGTAGTGAAAGAATGGCTACTTTAGAAAAGCCCTAGATAATGAAAAGAAAAATTTGTGTTTTTATGGACTACATGATTTGAAAGCGAAAAGTTACTTATCGTAAAAAGATCTTGACTTCCCTAAAATAACTTATATGTGCATCATTTCTTGTTCATAGTATGGTAAAGCAGTCCGTGATACGTGGGATTGGTTGATGGGGTATTGGCGCCGTCAATGTACTCAGGAAAACATCGCCGGATGTGCAGTAACAGAAAATCAGGTGTGCATTGTGGCTAACCCTTTAAACCCTAACATCAGTATGCATATTCTCCATACTGTTCTCTATAAATTTCCTAAGGTGCTGATAAGGAGAATTTGTTTAACAATCAAGAACTTCTTAAATTAGTCATCATTTTCTTAATTCTCTTGACCTTAATGTTTGATTCAGGGGTGATATTGTAAGGAGAAATTAGATGCAAGTCACTCTTAGGGATCAAAAGTTAAAGAGATATTCATTTGCCACCTTACATGTTCAAATCTAATTTATCTTACTTTATTTCCATTGCTTGTCTTACCTCAGATTGATATCCAGTCGGAAGTTCAAGTTGCTCTGCAATTTCCACCACAAGGTGGATGTCGGGAAGTTGCCACAATCCTTGCTTGTGTGCAGGTCCTCTTACTTTTACTTCACAACGACAACATTAGTAAGGCAAGTAACACACACTTGACATGTGTTTTAAACTTCGAACTTATTAAGAAGGTTTGTGCGCGAGTACAACGACAATCTCAGTGTAATTTTGGTTCCATACAGGATACGATGAAGGCTGCCGAGGATAAAGTCAAACTTTTCCTTCTTCAGTCTGCACTTCTTAAGAAACTTCCGTTGAAGTACAGAGCTCATACCGTAAACAGTTCTTTGTTGGACGAATTTTGCAAAGCGAAAGATGGCAAAGTTTATCCCTTTCACGAAGTAAGTAGATGAGATCATTGTAACTTAACCTAACGTGGGAATCACGTTATAATCCTTCCTCTATCTTTGAAATAGGTATTGCGCTTTACAGACTGGCTTGACCACCATGTATTTCCCCCAAAAAAATTAACAGTGACTAACATCTAATTATGAAATTCAAACATTCCCACTGCCCTTACGCCCTCCCATATAAAAAGAGTAGAAAGGGTTTTTTTTGTCTTGAAAGTTTAGGTGCTAAAGAACACAACTGTCCTGAAATAGGCGCCTCTCATGTTTTCTATCTGGGGTCGGTTCTGAGAGTCTACATTTATGTAGTCGTGTCTGAGATGTATTAGTTAAAGGCAGCTTGTTTATATCGTTTGACAGATCCATACGAGTTTATGGCAGACTTTAAGGGTGATAGAATCAGTTTTGAGAGATGCTTATAAAGACGACAGTGCCGCGAATGTATTAGATATGACTTCAGTGGCAGATCTAATGGACGGACGCCTAGTCCATACTCTCTTCTGGCTTATTATGAAACAGATATCCCAGGGATCAAAAGGTCTGTTGTCAGATAGAGTCTAAGACTTACTAACAAATTCTTAAAACAAGCCGGTCATTGAGAAATGATTTAGGTCTCAATCATTTTTTTTTCTGTTTTCTTGGCGTCACCTTTAAGCTATGTAGCAAACTCTTTTTAAAACTTCAAATTTAGTATTATGGAGCGTTAGCCCTTCCTCAGAGCGATTGGGGGAATTGTGGGTTGTGTGTGTGTTTATGTGCGTCATTCATTCATTTGTCACCACATTCCCACTAATAGCGTAGCTCCACTTTCTGCATATACTCTCACACCGACGCAGCACCACAGTTTCTTTAGAAACTTACCCCCTTTATTCATTTGTGTAAAACTTCGTCTGATAATTAAAAGCGGGTCTCACTCATCTCATGTCTATCACAAACTTAGTGTTATCTGGGAAATAGATGCTTCTGTGTTAATTACCTTCATTAAGGCCTACTTGTTTCAAGTAAAACAAGGTACAATTGTTGTTAACAGGCCGCGTTGTCTTGCTAGATGTAAACTGCTATGAATATGAAAACATAGCGATCTTTCGCCCTTGGTCATACTCCGTTCTTTCAAAGACTTCGAGGTATAACCTTACGTACTTACACTACGTGTTTTACCATATGCATTAGACCTCAGTCTACCTCAGGATGTTAAACGAGATGTTGAGTCTGCATGGGAGAAAGTTGTCGCTCTTGTGAATGGATCATGTCATTCACATTCTCTGGAAAGTCAATTTTTTCCATTGTTTGACGGAAGTTCTACAAGTCTTCATCACGAGGAAAGTAAGTAACATTCGACCTAGATTTTCCATTGTAGCTTTCTGCATATTAAAAACAATCACTTGGATTTGAATGGTTCCTGCATGGTTCTCGTCCCTTTCTTGTCTAAAAGAAAGTTTAAACTTTTGTCTTTCGGGAACAAAATAGTTTGTAGTTCAAAATGGAAAGGGAAAGAAAATATCAAATTTGGTAGTTGCAAGTTTCAATTAATCTAGTTAATTCATTTTGTTAGAATGATATTTTTAAAGGTACCGTCTGGCTCTGTCAGAATCTTGACGGCCATCTTCTGAAATTATCAGTGTTTGTTTCAGGAACAAATCCTGATCAAGTCTCCGGCGCGAAGCTCAAAAGGCTACTTGACGTTGGAAGTGTTCTTGTGAATGAGTATGTTGGTGATACTAGATCAAGAATTAATGCCATGGCTGGGTAAGAACATGCAACAATGTTTACGTCGTTCAAAGAACCCTGCATGTTTTACTTAGTTGCGTGAGAAAATACGCTCTTCAGAGAAGGCTTTTCAATTTTCTCCTTTTAGAGACGAGACCGAAGACGAAGTGTTACTGATTGGCAAAGAATTTGACGAGCAGTACCACTGGCATTCTCTCAGGCCACTATCTGATGATTACGACAGGACAAAGCAGTCTTTTACAGGTGAGGCCATACTCTTAAAAAATTGTCGTTCCTGATTGGTCGATGAAGAATAGATAAACAGATTATAGGGTGCATTACGGGATTTCCGCCCTGCACTCTTCCGAAATTTAAGCTTTTAAAGATGAATAAAAATAATTTCATTTATAAAAATTTTCGGAAAAAATTAAGAATGGTTTGGCAGTAACAATAATTGTGTGAAATGATCAATCAAAAAACTAGCGAGCACATTCTGAACAATACCCCCAAACACGTACAAATTAAAATAGTGCCTATTGCAAATTTTTTTGAGAAAAGAATTAACCAAAAATTGCAATAGCTGCTCAAGCTTTTTGTAATTATCAGTTAATCATATTGCTTTAAAAAGTTTTCAATCGCACTCGTTTACAGTTCGTGAAATTACGAAAACTTTCAAAACATTACTCACGCCCATAAATCAAGAAATGTATTCGCGTTCATACGACTTCTTATACTTAACACTGAGGTCACTGGATTTAACAACTTGACAGTTTTACTTGTCATATTGAGCTTTTTACTTTACCTTTTACGTCCAACTTCTTTCTTAAGGAATTTTTAGCTGGAAAAAACCTTTACAAACTACCGTAAGCCATTTGTTGCAAACTATGAACTAAAAATTTCACTAATTCGTTCTTCAGATAAGCCTCCGACTGATCCCAAAGAGAGAAAGTGGTATTTCAAACAGAAGATGAAGTACGTTCGCTACCAAAGATTTTACGGAAACTCTCTTGTTGGTGGTGTGGACAAAGCGAAAATTATAACCGTCAAGGAAGAGGTCGCAAAGAAGAAAAAAGGAAAGAACAAGGATGGAAAGATGGTGGGAATCTTTGTTATTATCAAACTTTAGTTTAAATTTTTTGCCCCAATAGTTTTTTGTGTGATCAGCCAGATTCAACTGAGGAAAATTACTTTTTGCAGGGAGAAAAAGCGAAACGAATCATCGAACAGAACGATAAAAAACGCAAAGGTTTGTCGCTTATATAATTGATATTAAGATCGTATCACGTACTTCTCTCAAAATAAAGGTTTCAATTTGTGGAGTTAAATCATTAAAATATTTTGAGCACATCTAAAGTACTGTAATTGGGCAACACAATGAGAATTTCACATGGTATCTTTACCACATTCTTAGGGCATAATATGAAGGTTGACGTGGCTGAATATGGGATTGAACAAATTATTGAGTTCTTCAATCATGTCCTTAGCAGTCGCGCTTCTTTGTAACTCGGATCAGTAATCAGTTACTCATGGTTTGTTGAATACCGTTTTTCCTCGAATAAGCGCTTAGGCACTTTCTAAAAAATTCTGCTTAAAGAAGGGGCGCTTATTAACAGGAGGGCGCTTAATCGAAGGGGGGGGTGGGGGAGGGGGGGGTGCGCAGCAAAAGTACAAAAATTAAAAGAAAAGATGACGCACATTAAGAACTTTGCAAGCATATGGAGATGCAAATAACTGGAACAGAAAAGGAAGCATTGTCCTGTACTTATTCCGTCGTAGCTGAAGCTTACAAAGTTATATCATGAAGTGGCAATAGAAAAAGGTTTTTCTAAAATAAGTGAGGAAGGATTGGGGGGGAGGTTATTCGAGGGGGGCGCTTTTTTGAAACGATGGCCTTTGGGTGCGTGCTTATTTGAGGGAGTGCGCTCAATAGAGCATGGATGCTTATTCAAGGAAATACCGTGCGGCATTTGTTAAATGTGAAAGTTTGAACTAAGTTATTCAGCTTTCAATAAGGCGAACTTCTGGTGTATAGTATAGGTTGTAATAAGAAAAAGCAGGGTATGGACGGCAAAAGTTTGGCGAAAGATTCTTCATGAGGATTTGTTCACCCGCTTCAAAATTACCGTTAGGGAAACTATCGAAAACATGTCGTTTTTTACTCAAATTTTCCGCAGACGAAGAAAGAAAAAAAGATCACGAAAAATGGAACAACTTTCTTAAAGACATTGACAACAATCTGAAGAAGGATAAATTCAGCACTGTTTTGCAGTTAGTCGATAAGTATCTTGAAGATTGCAAAACTCCCGAACTTCATCTTCAAGCGCTGATGAAAAAGGCCCAAAGTTGCCTTGGAGCCTGGCAGCAGACAAGTAGGTGAAAGAGAAAAAAGTGAATCGCTTTCATAATCTGTTGACGTTTCTGAGGCCCCATAAGGGGGGTCTGAGTATCCCGTATCCCATTAATTCTTGTGGTTCGTATCCCTATAATACTAGTTACCATGATGACGTCATTGAGCGTGATATGTTTTGGTACTTTATAAAAAAAAACACATTTTCCTGGGGCGTTTCGTATTTCAAATATTTGTTCCCTCGGTGGTCTGTTGTCGCACGGCTCTACTGTTGTTGTTCAGGTCTAATATTTTGGTCCATCGTAAACTAAGGGTTGGATTTGAGATCTATAGCACCCTCCCAGTATAATTTGCACTTCGTAATCAACATGCTAAAGTTCGGATTGGCGAAGCTCTTTTGATCTACACGATTTGAAAAACAAACTGGACTGCCGGCGATTTAGTGTTGGTTTTCCTTGACTGGCTGTCGGTCAATTAGCCACATCATTTTAAGTTGTTTTTTGAACTAAAGATAAACTGAACTGAAACTATGTACCGTAAATAGTAACATTCAACTCATTCTTGTCCTGGAGAAGCGGTAAACAGGTAAGGAATTGCTTTTGTTCATCTGTATCTATTGCAAAAACTCGGTAAAGGGGAAATTCTGGCTCTGGTGTAAATCGCTTGCACTGAAGCTCTAACTTGTAAGTTCTTTCGCTTGTTGATCTAATCCTTAGACACTTAAGGCCTGAAGAAATGACTGAGAAATGAGGTCCTTAGGAATTACCATTTCATTACGGGTTTTTCCTCTCCTTTGTAAATACACGCTGTGACCTCGTGAAGAATTTTCAAGGCCGTCATGATCGAAATGACTACAAATGATAAAAAAAGCAATCGCACGAGCCCAGTGTGAGGTCACAACGCGCGAAAGTGGCGCGAAATGGAAAAAGCTGTGGGGGAGGGGGGAGTTGTTCTGGGACAAGAGCCGATGTTGGCACCTATTGTCAAACTGACAATATTTAATGGAAAAATGTAAAAAATACTCGCATTTGAAAGTATTTTTTTCACTATTTGTGCCATCTATATTGACTAATAAACTTATTTTATTCTTTTAAAAAATGAGAACTTTGATCTTCGATATCCTAGAACCTTTTTTTAAACATCCCGTATCCCTTAAATTTTCCGCCCAAATATCCCGTATCCCTATAATTTTTTTACTCAAGTATCCCGTATCCCGATAACCCCCAAAAGGGCCTCGTTTCTCCATAAACTTTGTCGCCTAGGTAAAGTAGGAGAAGGAAATTTGAAAAATGAGAGTTATATTTATCAATAAGTAAAAGAACGTTTGACAGTTTGTCTCATGAATTTTAAGAGTAAGGCTAATAAACCGTGTATTGACATGCTCCTAAAGAGGAACGTGTCCTGTTTCATTGGCGTGTTCTGAAACCACCGAATTCTGAGTACAAGCAGTATGTAGCTCTTATTCATGTTTTTTTCTTTCATCACTCTCCCGTTTTCCCCGATGTGTATTCCGGATCACTTTTCATCGTCAAGTTTGAGTATATAAAAAAATTACCCAAACCAAACTGCAGCCAATTTTATTTTGTAGGAGCTGCTGACGCTGGATCTAATGACATGAAATATCCTGTCCTGTTACTGAAGAGTGTTCAGAAAATGGCTGAAGACTTCCACAGCCTTCTTACCGACAAAGAAAAAAAGAAATTGGCTGGATTTATGCGGAAGCTAGGATTCGATGACATCGCAGCCACGCTTTACGATCTACCGGAAGAAAGTGAAAGAAAAGTGCGTATCGTCAGATAAAACAAGCTTGGCTTTATGCTATTTCCTTCTCTGTATCTAATAATCAGGAGATAAATAGTGTTATGAAATCTTAAGACGTCAGTGCTACAGCGCACTCGTATACTCAAACATATCACAATATGATGTCCGCTTCTGGTGCACATACCGTTTTTTAAGTAATCTTGGAATTTAAGATACTGCCTCAACATTGTGCCCCAACTTGAGACACAATTGTTGAAAGTGAATGATTCTAACAAAGCTGTGGTGACAAATTCCCGCAGAGACGTGGAGGTAAAGTGGTCAACTACCGCTATTGTTCACAGTGACTCCTAGGAGAGTTTACTCGGAGGGCTATTTAGTGTGAGAAATCTCACTTTTCCGTGTTTCCATAGCTTTATCTGAAGAACTAAAGAAGGGGACTGCTGAATTTTAATCAGCTATACTCACGTTAAACTGAAATGCAGTTAAGGGCTTGCTTAAGTTCGAGAATTCTCCCTGCGTTCTACGTGTTTAGATGAGGGTATCTAAACACGGACAAAGCCCCTTATTGCTTTGATAAAATAGTTTTGCGAAATGCACGCGAATCTAAAAAGCCGCAACCGTGTTTACATACTCTAAACTTGACAAGCCTATTGACTAATGGGAGTGCGCGTAACACCTCAATTATTTCATAAAAGTCCACTGTTTAACTCAGGATTTAAGTGAATTCCTCTTTGGTCTTCTGACTATTTGAGCACAATTTATCACCTAAGGCTCAACAGCTATCGGTCCACACTACAAGCGCAAGATTCCAACTTGACTGCATGGGCCATTTACTCAAGCGGGAAACAAGAACTGATCGTGACTCAAGGGTCGACCACTTCATTCCAGATACATGGCAGGTATTATATATTTTTTTCACTGCATATAAATACGAAAATCTCTCGAAACAAATCGTAGAGGAGAAGAATAGGTGGTTAAGTTCAGTGAAGAAAAGTAATTGAAATGCTTAAATGCTTGAATTTCAGTGGAGGCATTTTCAGAAAAGGACCAACAAAATCTCCCCCTGTGAATTTCGCTTTCTTCTCGTTGTGGTTTTCTATTCATTTTCTTAATTTTGTGGTTATTCAAATATTTTCCAGCGTGAACTTCTTGATGCTGTGGACAAGAACGAGTCAGCAGTAATAGTGGCACCCACCTCGTCGGGAAAGACTTTTGCCTCATACTACTGCATGGAGAAAGTGCTGACTCAAGACAATGATGGTGTGGTGGTCTATGTTTCCCCAACAAAGGTATAACGTTACCAGTTACAGCCATTTAGTTTATCAAGTTCTCTTGAATTGATCCTTAATGGCTGACGACCCTGTCTCGTCACATGCAGCTGTGGTTTCGTGCACCGGATCTGGCGTAGACTGATTTTATGCCTCACTATGGCATCTCGTCTAAGACGTGTTAAAGGATGTAACGTCTGTATGGTATGGTGACAAATATCTAATACTTATCTTAAAGTTATTCTGGTGTCTGGATTATGTAGGTATTAATAACTGATGCATTGATCATTTAGGCCTTAGTGAATCAAGTTGCTGCTACAGTTTACGCTCGCTTTCATCGTAAACAGCTTCCAGAGGGAAGGGCGGTGTATGGTGTTTTCACGAGGGACTATCGATTCAACACGTTGAACTCTCAGGTAAGCAAACGTGACAAGCAACACTCCAGACAAGAAGGAATCTCATAATTTCTGAGCAAAAAAAATACACAAAGTCAACGACAAACAACATTTGTAATGAGTTATCTTAACATAATGCAATTAACATGAATTCTTCTATGGAATCATTCTCTGATTGAAAACTCGTTCAGTTGATATTGTACTATTCCCCTTTTGAAATTTCTCTCCATTTGGCTCGTGAATTTAAGTTTAAATCGGTCTTATAGAGTAACTTTTTCAGTTTTGTCTTTTGATTTCCTGCAGATCCTTGTTACAGTTCCTCAATGTTTGGAGATACTTTTTCTCTCGCCTCGTAGACAGGATTGGACAAAAAATGTTAGATACGTAATCTTCGATGAGGTAAAATAATTGAGAACTTTTCTGAAAGTAATTTTTGCATAATTACTTTTTAATTTTTCCTAATGAAGTTTCAGCTTGGAGGGATAGAAGGTCTATTCTCCCTAGAGATACAAGGCGAAAATAGTAAGAGTTGCTTTGAAGTCGTTAAAATGTTTTTCCAGAGATTCGAGGTGACAAAAGTTTACTTTTCAAGCTGAATAAACTTTCTGGTATCGTTTAAAGCCAATAAGAGAAGATTACTGCTTCACCTGCGCACTCACTTAGGCTATATCTTAGCCGAAATTTCTCCCTTATCTTTAAAATGCAGGTTCACTGTCTTGGTCAAGAGATAGGAGCTGAAGTCTGGGAGCATCTTCTTCTTCTCATTCGCTGTCCTTTTCTGGCGCTCTCGGCAACCATTGGAAATCCAGATGACCTTACAAGGTACGAATTGTTGCAAAGTGTACAAAATGTGTACTTAAAATAAAAGCTAAGTTTTTTGTTTGTCTCACGATATAGTCACGTGTGATCGCGACGTTTCGACTGCATACTGCTAGTCTTTTTCAGGCGATAAGGTCGACTGGTCATGTACGATCTTATACAGCATGATGCTCTGCTGCGATTAGTTGATTTTTTTTCAACAGCTCCGATTGGTGCATTTCGATCCTTGCTGTTTCACTCAGTGATTTGCTTCCTCGGCGGTCCGCTGTCGCACGGCTCTCCTGTTGTTGTGTTTTTTGATCGTGGACATCCACGTTTCTGGAATTTCTATTCCACTATCCCTGTTGATGTTGTCAGGGTGAAGTCTTATATGAATTGCCTCTCTGACCCTGCGCGTGTAGTAATAAGGGTCACGATCAATTAACTTTACTTCGTTCCAGAGTGGCTTGTGTCCGGTGTTGTGGGCTAGCTCTGAAACGACGGAGGTCTCGGTAAGGGCGAGTCGGGTGTCTCGATCGTGCTCCTTAATTCTGTATTGCATAGGTCTTATAGTCTCTCCGATGTACACCATGCCGAATTCACAGGGAATCCTGTAAACTACGCCATCTTGTTTAGCAAGGTTGACAGCGTCTTTTGGTCGTACTAACTGAGATCTTAACGTAGTCTCCGACTTGAAAACAGTGCGTACGTCTTGTTGTTGTAGGCAACGGCGAAGCTGTTCGGACACCTCCTTTGACATAAGGTAAAACCGCAGTAGCTTCGAACTCGTTGGCGGGTTCGGCGCTGTTGTTTGGTTTTCCGGTCTTGGTAAGTTTCTGCAAGAAAGAAAAAGAAAAAAGAAAGGAAAAAAATGTGTACTATTGAATCCTACGAAATTTTCCCATTACGGCGATATTAAAACGATGTTAACGTGTATAAGTTAGTCGTGCATTTTCAAAGTAAATCATGAGAAGAATCATATGTCATTGGTTTTGTAGGTGGTTGCAAGCCGCTCAAAACTTTCGAGAGCAGCAAGACAAACAAGAAAATTGCCCGATGAGGAAGTCCTACAGAATCAGACTAGGTTAGGCGAAGAAATGAATTTGTTGCTTCAGAGAGCAATAGGAAAGTCTTTCGATGGTCTTTCCAATCTGCAATGCTTGAGTTTGCGCATTGGGGTTGACTCAAAGCAAATAGCAAGTCAATTCAACCTTATCTAGATAATTAGGTTTGCAAAACGGCCTATGAGACGTAGCGAACTGACCTAAGACGTTGGCGAAACGACCTAAGACGTTAGCAAACTAATCGTTATCAAAACGTCCGCAATTATTACAACATATTGATATTGTAAGGAAAATTCTTTTTTGGTTATTCCTGAGAGTGAGATGGTCAACGAAGGTCATCCCCATGCCACACAGTTGGCTAATAACATATTTCTGGTATATTTTTAGTTACGTTTCATGAACGATACTCAGATCTGGAAAAGAGTGTATACCTTCCGAGTCCTAGCAATGGTGGATTTTCTGAGGAGACCATGCAATACGAGGGTGTTTACGATGTCAAAACTACAAGAGAGTTTGTGAGACTTCACCCTTGTGCTCAGCTTGGAGCAAAACAGGTGAACGGTCTAGAATAGAACTGCCATAGTTCAGCTTGAAGAGAATATCCGTACGTTTACTAATATACTGAAGAGACCTACGAATTCGCAAAAAAAAAGAAAAGAAATGGAAACTTACCAAACGTAAGGATTCTAGGTCCATGAGTTCTCAAATGTAATTTTTTGATATTGGTTTATATTCACCATACTTATAAAAGATATAGAAACTATAAGGTAAATATATCATTTACATTGATGGATAAAAAATTAATCATCATAAATGCTTTCTGATATTAAATGAAAGTCTCCTACGATAACTTACTTATCGCTTTTGTAACCTCCGTAGGTTCAATCTTACAACTGTATCTTTTCTGCAGTTCCTATGATACGTATTTTAGATCTTTTGCTTCCATACCTCTTTCAGTAATATTTTTTGGCTGTTTCCAATTAGCTACAAGAGAATTCCTTCCCAAGGGATATGGATTTCACCCCTCAAGAATCTCTACAACTTTTTGACGTCATGGCTATGCACTGGCCAAACAAAGAATCCTTGCAGGTAAGTTGGTAGCTTTTAAATAACAATCAATCTTACACATTACAGTTGCATGCCTGAAGCTGTAGATATTAGTCGTAACAAAGGCTAGGTCGCATCGTTCTGGGCGACTTTTATTCTTGCAAAGCTGAAGTAAGACTAGATTCTACAAAGTCTCAAATAATGATGTTTTCATACTGATAGCCCAAAAAATACCGCGACTCGGTGACCGGGGCTTATTATTTTGTGTTTTCTTTAAAGAAACTTTCCCCCGAGAGGTACTTCGAGGAAAATAAGTTCATTGACAAGAGCTGCGCACGACAGTACGAGAAGGACCTGAAGAGAGAATTCAAGTCTTGGGCCGATGAAAAACATCTTGAGAAGGTGAAGGGAATCTTGCTAAAGGATTCGTGGCACAGTGTTTGTGATGTGGTTACAATGTTTGCCATTGCTTTGATAAACTAATTTTTTTTGACGCTGATTTAAGCCCTATTAACCTTAGCCTTTAGAGTCCTTGCTTTCTGTTTATCACTCCACGTTATTATTTAAACGATAATTTAAGGTATTCGTGTCCCTAGTAACAACACGATTGTGTAACCTGACGTCAGCGAGACACAAATCTGTTAAATTCTTTGCATGATTTCTTCGTTGTATCAGTGATACATTATACGGGGGCCCCACGGATGCCCTGGCCCATAAGAGGTACGATGTTTAGGTGAAATAACATTTTAAAGGCATAAGCTGGTATTTTCTACAGCTCTTCATATTATTTCTTGTGAATTGTATCTCTACGTTCTATACTCTTGGGCTCGCAAAATTAACTGATTTACTAACTTTAGTATAATTTCTGCTGTTGTTTTTATCATCACTATCAAGTTTTTTTTGGTTGCTTCAGGTTCAAGCCGTTATACAGTCGCTGAATTCAGTTTTGCTGGAGAAACAGGCCTCGACTGAAGAGGAATGGACACAGCTTGGAATGGCTTCGTTGGGAAAAGTTTTCATTTGGAGCAATTTCCCAAAGCTCGTGGAACAGCTTAAGGCTCAAGGAAAACTACCCGCTCTTGTTTTCAGGTAATATACAAACTGTTTCATCCAAGGAAATGAATTTTCGTTCAGTGACATGCGTAACAAGGGATTAAGGTTTAACTTTAATTCGGTTTTAAAGTGTCAGCCACAAAAGGCAAATGACGATCAGAATGTCAGTTGGGACGATGCACATAATTTGGACTCATTCTCCGAAAATAAAATGCGAACGTTCAGAACAAATCACAATTACATAACGAAAATTCATGATATGTGAGAGGTATATAAAAAAAAAAAACTAAGTAAATACCGGAAAAGATATCTCGCTCAGTGGGCGTTGTTATGATATCACTCTGTTTTTAATCAGCTTTGACCGCATTTTTTAAGAAGAGTTGGCATTTGGTCTCGCTCAGCACTTTCGAAAACGAGAGAAGCTTATTAAAGGCCAGAATAACTGGAAAGACTTGAAACTTGCCATAAAGAGGGTACAAAAGGCGGAAAAGAAATTTAAAAGGCTGAGAGATGGAGAGGCAGAGAGTACAAAAGAAGAAAGGTAAACGGGAGTTATTCAAATATTAACTGTTTTATCTCGTCGAGTGCTATTCAGATTCCATTCAACATGTATGTGACCGAATCCATCATGTTCTGATGACAAATGTTATAAGACTTGAGGGCTTGTTCTCTTAACAGATTGTGCAGGCAAGTAGGACAACAGTATGAAAAAGACTTTTCAGTCTTAACTGGTCCTATACCAGAGTGCACATTAGCCTTTACACACGAAATTGGAAACGAGGTAGGGAGCATCCGACGACTATTTAATATTATTCAACAATTTTTCGCTGAAGGCGAAGTGAATATTTGTGAAAAAATACCTGAGACGAGGTCGAGGGGATTATTCAATGATATTCACTGAGCCAGAGGTGAATAATTGTTTTAGTATGATTAGAGGAGGGTGATCATAGCGAGGTCACTATAGCAAGATACGACCAATCAGAGCGCGCGCATCACTATAATCGCCTAAGCAAAGGAAAAAGATTGATTATAACAAAAGAATGATCAGACTACACGTTATGTGATAAAAAGACCCCCAGGTACAGAAGTTACTGATAAAGTTTGCCTTTACTAAGGTTGGCCATTTACTCTGTAGGATTTACAGAAGATCATGGGTCGCATTTGGTCTGTGCATGGTTACTCACAATTAAAGAATGCTTTAAGACGAGGAATCAGTTACCATCACGCTGGACTGAAAAACAGAATTCGCTGCTGCGTGGAGATGCTATTTAGAGAGAAGTATCTTCAGGTATAATTTTATTGACTGCTTGTTCCTAGAAACGAAGGTGGACGTTTAAGTAATAACGTGGAGTAATATTTTTTTTCTACTGAACCTCTGTCATCGTAAATAGCACTGAGGCATCGCTTTTTCTTAAAATGATTGTTTAAAATATGAATTAAAAGAATGTGTGACTCGGTTAAAAAAAAGAAATCCATACGAAATATCAGAAAAAGATGAAAAGGAATGGTACAGTGGCCTCATCACTATTGCACTAGTTTGGTTTGCTTTTATCAACTGCAAACCGTGGCCTTTGTCATACAAACTTTTAAAATTTTGGTTAGTCTCTTTTTCCCCTTTATTTTACCTTCCTTTTGTTTTTGTTTTTTCTTTTTGCGCACAGCTTACCTATGAACCTCACCGGTTGTAAACGTTTCGATAACAAAAATATAGTAACTTAACAGTGTATAGAGACTCGGAGTTTTTTCGCTCCTTTTAGGTCGTTACAGCAACAGGAACCTTGGCCCTTGGTATTCATATGCCTTGTAAAACGGTCGTATTTGCTGGAGATTCACCCTTTTTAAACTCCTTACAGTACAGACAGGTGAGTGCACTTTTAAAACACAAGTTTGTATTCCTACAGAAAAACAAATCGTTCCCACAGACAAGCGAACCCACTGAAACAGCAGGTGTCTGTACATGTAATTTCATGGAATGCAAGTGAATGAAGCAGGCAGGGCAGCTACTTGTTTCCAACAAAAAAAGTACCCTAAAAGATAGCAATCACTACAAATGAGACACAAATAATTTTGGATGTAGCTCTCTTTGTCTGTAATAAACAACCTTTCTAAGAATGATATCAGTACGGACAGAGTACTTTCTAGTATCTCTCTTGCATGAAAGTAGATCTAACAGTATCAAGGGGTCGTTATCCCCTCAGTACTCCTATCAGACTTCGATACTCATTGAAGCATTTCAATGATAATGACTACATCACTGTTCTGCCATCATGATTTTGTCCTTTTTTGTCCCTTTTTTCTTCTTTAGGCAGAAAGAGATAATTTTTATCTACAACGAATCTAAATTAAGACTTGATCTTACTCTCTCATCTATCTAATTTCAGATGTCTGGCAGGGCAGGTCGCCGAGGTTTTGACCCTGTGGGAAATGTAGTGTTTTTTGGAGTTCCTTTCCGTAAAATTCAACGTCTTATCACAGCCAATGTTCCAAAGATTGTTGGGAACTTCCCCATTAACGTATCATTGGTGTTGCGCTTGCTTCTGATGATATCAAAGGGAGATGATGTAAAAGATGCACTCACGAAGGTTTGTAGGAAAGACGCCTCCACATTTCTTCTCGAATAATTCGCCTATTCCTTTTGCGTTAGATACTTTGTACGATTGTTGCCAGCTTTTATCGATAATCAACTCTCTTCGTGCTGAAGGCGATGTGAATTGTGTCGCACGATAACAGTTACAGCTTCTTTGAAGTCTTTCATAGAATACTTTCCTTCCTCGTCCTCAGCTACGAATAAGACGAGGAAATGTACTACTAGAACTTATATCATTGCAGACAATCTAAAACGTACAGATGAGATTTTACGAAATTTACGTGAAACAATGGTCAGTTCTTAGTCTTATTTACACAGTAATATGCAAAATCCCAACTGATCGTTTCTCAGTCAATTCATGAACACACTAATGCCCCATTCACACCAAAGCTTAAACATGTTTAAAAGTTGTTTTGTTAAACACAGTTTAATTTTTTTTTTCTTCATAGAAACTATTTAACCGAATATTTTTGACTTGAATGTAGCACATCGGAAATGCAAGTTAGCAAGTACTTGAATCCTATGGAAAATCAAGTTTTTCAGTTCTCTGTTTATAATTTTCATTCAATGAAAACCAGTTTAACAAAACATGTTTTGCTGGTGTGAATGGGGTATAAGTTATGTACTTACTCTCATTTTCAGGCTCTCTCACTGCTGTCGCACCCTTTCATCTCCATTACTCACGCCGGAATGGAGGGCCAGATTAAGAAACATTTCTTATTCAGCGTCGAGCTTCTTGCCAGATTGGTGAGTGTCAAAATCAGATTATTTCTACCGCAGAAATGAGAGGCAAGGTAGAAATATTTTGCTAGTATCAGTTATCCTTGTTTTCCTTGGTTACAAGTTTGTCTATGTACTTCAAGTTAGGTGATCACATATTCGCTCTTGCAGTTCAACAGTCTTACTATAAACTTTTAAGCTCGCTCAAATCCTGTAAACCTTTTCTTTGCAGGGTCTTATAAAACAAGAAAACGGCGCTCCTCAGGAGATGGCAGGACTGGCGACACATCTTCACTATCATGAGCCCTCAAACTATGTGTTGGTCAGTTTTCTTCAACGCGGTCTCTTCCACAAGATTTGTCAGCCGGGAAAGAATGGTAAGGACTATTTATCTTCCCTCAGAGTACATAATATTCATAGCCTCCAACCAAAGGTTATGGAAGATTAGAATGCTTATGATATCATACTATTGATCGCTATCACAGGAAAATTCTCAGACGACGTGTTGAGAAAGATGGTGCTCGTTCTAAGCCACTTGTTCGGCAGACGATACCTTCACCCTTCATACAAACGAGCGGTCCATTTGTGCCCGACGTCAAAAGTATGTTTTTGTAAATTTTGAAAAATGTAAAGCTGTTTTAACACGCTTTATTGAGCAAACTTGTGTTAGTTTTTGTCATTTGGTATGAATGATAACGTATCATCATAACAAGTTTGGTCATTATTATCAATCTATCTTGACGCCCGCCTTATGATCACCCAGAAAATATTTAATCATTCCGTTCTTTAGTGCAGTTAAATTTGGCCTTTCCAGAGAAGTACCCATTAAGTGGCGGGATAGAAGAGTAATACAGGGCCTGTATCGGGAGAGAGACATTTCTATCTTAACCAACAAATAAGTATTGCAGAAGAAAAGTACTTAGAAAAATTAAAACTTATGAGAATGTCTAGAAAACGCTCTGGCACCGGTTTTTCAAGGGGTGGATAACGCTATCCGCTGGATAAATCTCTATATGGTGGATAGCGTTGTAAATTTTGTTGACATTTATCCACATGGATAGCGAGTTATCCATCATTTGAAAAACTGGGCTTAGTTGTTTATTGACTGGTCGTTGTAGAAAGATAATTTGGCATTTACCGCACACTTTTGTGACCGCAGTCGTCTTGGAGTTGCTAAAGTAAGAGTAAGTGTCTAAACCGTTCCTCAAGACAAATTGAATACCGTATATGAGCTTATTAAGCTTCTTCTTCTCATTGCCACAGCATATTTCAAGGGACTTAGCTGCATCTCAGTTGAGCCCGTTTCGTTGCTTGACTAGCATCAGCTTTCCTATGCTTTTAAAAACAGATGATTCTCACTGCTTGTTTTTCGGTTTTTGTTTTTCTTTTACGTATCTCATCCCTTTCAAGGTAATTTTGAAGGATCTTCCAGATGAATTTGCTACGGCTCTAAGAGAGTACAACCGCCAAGTCACAGATGTCTTTAGTCAGTACCTCACTACGGTGGCTGCAGACCTCGAAAAGGAAAGAGGAGAGGAGAACAAACTCCCTTTATCGGGCATAGGTAAAATACGATCCCTTATTATTTTATATGTGACCGTTTTTTTTACCAATGGTCGTCATACTATGAGTTGTTGGTTATTTTGGCGGCAAGTAAAATTTTTTAGTGGATCCATCACCAGTTCCTTCGCATTGCAAGGCTCCGTTTTCCGTGAAAACAATTATTTGTATTTCACGGCTTTGACAAGAATTACACTTGACATGTTTTGTCAGCGTTTGTTTGTTTGTTTCTTTCTTTCTGTTTTTTTTTGCAAGCGACACTAACGAGTCAGCTCTGCGCAACGGCTAAAAGGAAGGCCTGGTGCTATTTTGGCAATTCTATTTCCAGATCGAAGAGGATAATTCTTGGCAAATTTCTCACTCTGTGCTAAAAAGGCCCCTCTCCTTGGTTTACTTACATCGGTCCACATTCCCATACGAAGTACATCGTACATTGGTTAATTGCTGTACACTGTACCTATGGTAATAGTTCAAAAGAGAGAAACACCCGTGAGCAAGGTTAAGCTTAACAGTAAACGTAGGTAAATTCAATTTTGAAGTTAAAATGTTCTTATTTACCAAACGGAGTAAACTTCTTTTGCAGAATTTCCAAAGCAAGCAAGTGTTGGTGACGATGAAAAGTACGATGTTATCGAAGGGCTCGTGTCCTCATCCATACCGTACTCCGCCTGCTCTTCCTTCGCTGCATTGTCGGGAAATTCAGACATACAATTGCATTCTTCAAGCGAGACCGCAGCCAGTTATCCAAAATCACACGAAAGAAATGTCGACGTCGCCAAAGAGAACGCAACAGTTGAGCTTTATGAAGAAGATATAGAAGAAGAACCAATTGATCATCTGCTTGAGGTGAAAAAAGTTTCCCAATACCCCACGTCCCTTAAAATTTTGAAAAAGTTCTCTAACACTTTCGACGTGATTTCGCAAGGTTGCATGCATTTTGTTCTTTCGTCATTTTAATTAGTAGCATACTTGTAAAAACCTTTGGAAACTGCTTGCACTTCATTCGGTGGAAGTTTTCTCAAACAACCTAAACGATCAAACACTGGTTAAATTTATTTGCTGACACTTGATCCTGAGAAAACTGCCAAATATGAGTTTTTTATCTAACAGTTCTTTCACGTTTGGAACTACAATCATTTCAAAACAATCTGTATTTTCTCTTTTCGTACTTTATATGTTTTCACTTACTCTTTTTACTCTTGACTGTACAGTTACGTGAAGCATCGTCGAAACGTCATCACAATACTTTTACGAACAGTTTTTATAAATTTTTATAAAGTTTTTATGTATTTTAACAACGGTTTAGCGTTGAACTTTGCAATCAAATGTAATTTCGTCCTGTGGCAGTTTAAGTAGTTACAACACCAATTTAATACCGTTACCAAATTCGGCTACCACTTTTTCTTTCAGATTGTTCGACGAGATGTTTACACCGACATCCATGTTGTTCCCATCCTCCGGCTGAAAAAATGCAACCCAGTCGGAAGTGCTATGCCCTTGAATGCTTATGCTCTGGATTTTTTCAAGCACGGGTCTGCCAAAGTCATTGAGAAAGAAAACGGGTCAGTAAGTTAATCACAGACGTATTTGTAAAAGTTCTCCAGTGAGAGAAGCGAAGAGGCATCTTGATCATTGGATCAAGGAAAGATAGATTTTTAGAGCTTAACACTTTCATCACAGTGTCACTCTTCACCCAGGTGGTACAAAGTGTTAGAGAAATCCACTGAAATGCTTAGACAACCTACAGTGAACTAACATCCCATTCCAAGAGGAACACATCATTACCCTTAGTCACTCCATGCCTTGAAGCACCCTCTGACAGTTATAAGTCACCTGCCTTTGAATTTTTGTCAACCCCTCAAGTCTTCCTTTATTCATAAGCCTCTGTTTTACGATTGCTGAACATTGGGGAAAAACTGTATTGTAAACTAACCGTCAAGCTTATTCCCCATAGTTAGAGAGACATTACGTACCTTTCGAGTTAAAATTGGGTGTGGTTAGCTAAAAGATTCGAGGAAACCACTTGTTATAGGCGTGCATATCTTTTAGTGACTCACATGCCACCACTGTTCATACAAATCTTTAGGAGTTGTATTCAGGCGTGACTTAAAGTTGAATGCATGTTTATTTTGTAGAATCAAGGCCGGAGAAGTTTTTCAAGTGTTAAAGGATTTTGTCCTAACCATGAAGTCAATCAGGTAAAAAATGGTTATACGTAATGCAGTGTCGACGTTTCAGTCAATGTTCTATGACTAACGAAACATCCAGTCCTGATCGTCTTACGAAACTCGACAAGATGTATGTAAAGGGCGAGTGATAAAGTAAACTTTGTACGCGAGAACGAAAGAAAACAATCGGTTAAGTGTTGTTGTTGCTGTAGTAGTTCTTGTCATAGGATTAACCCTTGTGGTTGAAAGCTATTGACGCGTTTACGGACACTTCAGTTTGCTGTTTCCTCCAGCTGCAGCCACTAAGAAATTAAACGATAAATTCTAAAAGTCGCATGGTAGGAGATCTTGGTTTAGTAAGTTTAAGTCAGGGAGTATTAGGGTATTTATTAGGGAAATAACTTTTAACTTTAAATTTTCTTTATTCGCAGTACTTCTCTGGAAGAGCTGGGTCCCGAGGGGGATAATGTGGTGGTAGCTTTCAAACAGCTCGCCGAGGAGTATGGAAACAAGTTCAGAAAGCAGTTTGATGCGGACATTTGAAATAGTCCTCCCCGTAGTTGATTAAATGTCCTTAGAAAAAATCAGTAAGTCAACGAAAGAAAGGATTTGCCGATTGCTAACCGATTTGAAGTTATAATTTTTGAGGACAACCATAGGTGATCAATGCGGAAAATTTTTGTTTTCTAAAGAAAGAGTTAACAATAAATTTGCAAAGGTAATAGTATTCTGATAAAACTCGTGATTATCTTTGAGAGTCAACCTCAAACTCGGAGGTTTATTTTCTCAAAGTCAATGGCGCTAAATTTCGCGATTCAATCGTTCTCAACTTCATTTTATATTTCAAAATGTCAACTTTTGACAACTACGCGAAAGGTATTCGAAGGATTGTTTTCGAATCTAGCGATTTAGACGAGGATGATAGCAAGACTTTCTACTATATATAAGAAATCTTTGAAGTTTAACCTAGTCTCACAACGGAGGATCCAACAAAGAATTTACCAGTAAGCGAGGCTAATCTGAATTACAGCGGCACGACTTTCAAATCTCAATGCTTTTGTGCAAATGCGAATCAAATGTTGTACTTCGACATGTCTATAATTTTTTACCTGATCGCGAGTGTCCATCCCCGATAAATCCATCTTTGCAGGTGCAATTAGAAGACCCAACAGTATTGGAACACTTCGCATTCTCGTCACAAACGTTTTTGTTGCCAGCAGCGATTCCTTGAACAGAAAAGAAAGGAATTAGGTGACCAAAACATACTGGAAACTGACTTACCTTCAATTTTCATGTCGCAGTAGAGCAACACTTCTAACCCAACCATTACTTTTTACTGAAGGTTTCGTTACCTTTACTTAACCTTATCTTGTGGCACGATAACGCTAGTAATTTAGCAATGGAACCTAAGGGGGCTGCAATAAAGATATAACTTAATTTCATACATACTGAGATCTACACATGAAAAAAGGCCCGCGACAAATTCGTACGAAATACTCAACCAACCAATCAGAAAAGCGAACGACTGTGAAAATGCTTCGTCCAAACAGAGACACGAACGATAGTGCTTCACAGTGGAGGGAAAAAAGCACGCGGCTTTCTGTAAAACAAAGTAGAAGAAGAAGTGCCAAGACTCACTCTGAGCAAGAAAACAAAAATACGACAGCAAAACCGACAGAGACGTAAGCGTGCTAAAAACCTTTCTTTAAAAGAAGGTAGAGCTCAGAAACATTGAAGAAATACCTCCTGCTCAACTCAGTGAGAGTTCTAGTTCGTGCTCACTGTCAGAACTGTCAGAACCAAAGATAGAAATGACCACGAGCCAACATCACTGCGAGGGATCATTCCCAGCTTTGAACGGAAAAACTATCAAGCTTGTATCATCGACGATTTAGCGTTTGAAGAAACTCGCAAAACGCTGATGTCCAAGCAAAAACAGCTCAAGAAACAAGGGAGAGGCAACAAACTAAGGGCGTATGTATCTTGGACAGAAATATTCATTATCTTTGTCTGTCCTTTAGAGGTAAATAGTAGTTCTTGTCTTGTGTTTATTCTTCAAGGTAAATATACTCTGCCCTTTTTGGTTGCGAAAGCGTATCTTTCGATCATTTTTTGTAATATAGACCTGGAAAGTCTATGTATGTCCTTTCCGACAGGCGAACAGCTTGGCTTCATTTGTTCTCAATTGTGTGAATAAATTACATATGGTTTAGTTGCCACATAAGAGTCGACGATCTTGAGTTTAGTGTAGTCTACCGTGGTTGTGATTTTTGTAGTAAAACGTTCGCGCGAGGTTCCAAGAAAATATATCTGAGTCCAGGAAATGTTCTTGTCGTTCATTTACAATCCAGTGAGGTACTCAGCCTAAAAGAGTAAAACGTCTTTAAAGATTCGTAGCCATGCAACGAACGGATTTTCTATGACTGATCTGCTAAAATAAACTGGTAACGTAGGTAAATCTAACTAGATAAATTGAGAAATTTTCAAAGTGGAAGGTATGTATCCTAAAAGGAACTTTGCTCAAAACGATAAACCCGTTATGCATTAAGCTGTTCTCTGGTAAACAGATTTCTCGAACGTGGGTTGAAATAGTTTTCTCTGTAAACATTGCAGTGAATTATTTTTCAGGGTTTACTCTGTTAGCGAATGTTTCAAGTGTGGGAACGGAATTACGTGATTGAATCTCCACGAAATAACCCTCATCATGCAAAATTAATCACAGGCAATTCAAATGTCTGGTAATAATTGTTTTAAATTGACTTGAAAATATTAACGGATTCAGCGCAATCAAAACGAGAATAAAGCAAAGAGATTTTCATCTTATGGAAGCAAAACGGTGTCACTCTACGACCTTTTACTGTTTGTTTTCAAGTTAAGTCTATCTCATGAGGGCTTTTATTCCAAGATCAACACTTAAACTGCTATGTATATCCAGGAATCGACTCTGCAGATTTATCAACGCACGGCAAAAGCTTTGATGTACGAGAGCGTTAAAAGACTTAGAAATACATTACACCTAGGTCTCTAGTTACACACACTTGTTGCATCATCAACAGCTTTTTCAGATGGAAATAACATAAAACTAAATCGCTATTTTCCTATTTCTAACGATTTTAAATTTGTTAATCTCATTATATTTAGCGTCCAAAAAGTTATTCCACGCGGTCAGTAAACTTGCAACTTTTGCGCGTGCAGTGAAACAAATTGGTAACCTTAGGTGGCACTGCCTCGATATAAAAGTGATTTTTCAATTGTGGCCAAAAACTTAGTTCTCAAATCTCGGGATTTGGGTTAAGATTTTGTTCACCATTAATGCAGATATACTATACCTCCTCAAACCTTGCTGCAAGCTTTATAGAAGGGTAAAGAGGAACTAGAGTGGAAGACGAAGGCAACTATCAGCTGGATACAGTTTTATGGTGTGATAACTCCGCCCAGTAACAGTGAAAAGTCTGATCCTTTCCCTCCGGTGTCTCGACGAAAGAAAGCAAGTCCTCTGCCCTACATTTTGGGGATTGCAGGCGCAGTGCTATTATGTATGGTCGCTCTTCTGTTTGACTGGTTAGAATACCAGGGACCCTAACCAAACCACAACGGCAAGGGTAACGAGGACGTGGCAAAAAAAAAAAAAAATGCAATCAACAGAACAGTAGCTTAGCACGGGCAGTTTCAAACTTTGTCGGCGTTTTTTCGACTGTTTAAGGTTCCTAACGCTTTCTGGGTTCGAAGGACTCCATGTGCATATCATGACCAGTTCGACCAGCTTCAACAATGAAATTAATTTCATTTCTTACCAAAAATATTACTTTATCTAACAACATCTTTAAGTCGTGGAAAACTTATATTTTCTCAAACACAAAGAAAGGAGGGGAGAAGCACTCAAGATTATTTGCTTTGAAATCATTTAAGGATTTTGAAGGATCATTCATCGGATATGGTCAAAATCATTAAGTGTAATCTTCCGACAGCGTTTGATAAACTTCATCCGTCGCACGATTCATTTGTTGTCATCGAAAGCTTTAAAACCTATCGAAGAAATAAACATGAGCCAGAATATTCTAGATAGCATGACTGACCTCAGTTTGATACTTTTCCTTCTTAACTCTCAGGACTGAGCATGTGCAGAACAGGGTTTATCCGTTACATGAAAAAAGGACACCTTCCCCTCCTTTGCATGAGAATCAATCTGACACCACTGTGCTACTGTCCCGAGCAAAAGCGAACGATTCGTGCGAGGTAACACACTTCTCGGTGATAAAATCATGGGTGGCAGAGTTATTTTATCGTTATTATATAACAAAAATAAAACTGTAAAACTGAACTTTTCGCGAGCTTAAGAAATATATTTGCTACAGGAAGTACGCAGAGTAGGTCCCGCAACGCTAAAAAAAAGGTTTATTTGCTGGCTGAACCTGATATATAATCCCTCTTGGACCATTTTGGTGGTATTTCTTACTGTTTATGACTGACATTTTGATCACCTTTTTCCGTCGGTACTGATAAATTAATTTAAAAAGTCGTTTCGTTTAAAGAAAATACCCATCGTAATCACGAAATAAACGCACAAGCGAGACCACAAATGATAACATTGTCTTATCAGTGACATCAAGAAGACTGGAAAAATCTGTTTTTATTTTGTTACGGGACAACGAAAATTTAAGCCTCAAGGAAGACTATGATGTTCAGCCAACTGGAACTATGGATGAAAATTATGTAAGAAAAGAGGAGTTCCAAACCTAATTCCGCAACAGATTAATTTAGGGTGCTTGCCATTCAACCGACCCGTTCAGTTGGGAATTTAATGCCTAACCATTTCATGAGTAAACTCTTAATGTGTGATTCAGGGGTGATATTTTGAGGAGAAATTAGATGTTAGTCACTCTTAGGGTTGAAAGGGTTGATAAAATCAAGATGGCTCATCTTGATTAAGAGAAAGGTCAGCCAGGTTCCTTCCAGACCCCCCCTCCTCCCCCCCTCTTTTTCTGAGCGCAACATCACACTTAATCCACTTTGGAGGGTAGAAAAGTCTGTTTGATGGTGATCCATACTGGTGTCGCATAAAATCAAGGTTAGTCTAAACACAGTGTTTAAACATTTTTCTTCAGTAACAACCAAATACAGTGTAAACAATGTTTTAGGAAAAGGAAGGAAAAACTTTTAAGTGTTCCGTCTTTTCTTTGGCTCCGCGTTCTGAGACCAAGTTATCGAAACAAAATCACAAAACGAAATTATTTGTTAATTGGTTAATAACTGGTGTGTACGGGTTGAATTGGTGACTGCGCTCGTTATTTCTCTCTACTAAATATAAACGTATGAAATCCATGAATCGATTACGCGGGGGGCGGAAATCCCATAGGCAAGGTTATCCGGTTTTAGAAAGAAAGGAAGTAAAGAGGAGTTGAAACCAGGGCATGTTCATGTTTTATCAAGGGACCTTATAGAGCGAGCAGGAATTTGTTGCATAACACAACACTGTCGGGATTCCAAAATGGAAGTTTATATCGCGGCTTGAAAGAATTTGAAGACATGAAAAGGCGAGCCAGGGAAATTTATCAATGAATTCTCTTCGCAAGCTGCTTTTATGTATGAGTTTTGTAAATAACAGTGATGGTAAAGGAAGCTTAAAACTGCAGAAATCGCCAGAAACTACAACAGACGCGGAGGATGTGAGTAAGGTTTACTGATTTTACGTGTGTAATG